GCGCTCCGAATGAGCTCACTTGTTGGCGCGGCAGCCGTCCGCCCCAGGGCCCGCCATGGGGCGACGTCGAGGACGACGCCTTCCTGGCGTGGCTGGGCGGGAGTCCCCCCGCCCTGGACGACCTCGCGCGCGCGGGCGGGCGTGGGCGCGGGCGTGGACGCACCGCGCCGTGCGTGTGCGCGTGACGTCGTCGTCGTCGCAGTCGTCGTCGTCCTCGTCGTGCTGCGCGCGCGCGTGCGCCGTGCGCGCGTCGCGCCGTGTCGCGCCGCGGCGGTTTGCGACGCGTCGCGGCATGGCGATCGGCGCCGTTGCATCTCGCGCTGCGTCGCGCCGCGCGCGCGCGCCGCGCCGCGCCGCGCATGCGCGCGCGCGGGAGAGAGAGAGAGAGAGAGAGACAAAAAAGAGAGAGAGAGAGAGAGAATGAGAGGGAGAGAGAGAGAGAAAAACATATAAAAACATCACAACACAAAAAAAGAAAGAGAGAGAGAGAGAGAGAGCGCGCACCGCGTCGTGCCGCGCTCCACGCGTTCGCCGTGCGCGCGCCGCGCCGCGCTCTGACGCGTCGCGCCATGCGTCGTTGAAAGCCGCGCAGTGACTTGCTGGTCCCTGCCGTGCGTATGTGCGCGCCGATCCGTGCCTTGCGTGGGCGCCTGACGTCGCGTCGCGTGTCCTCCCGTGCCGTGCGCGGTGCCGTGCGCCGTCCCTTGTCGCGCGCCGCGTCGTGCTCTCCGTCGATGAAAAAATCACCCGTGCCCGCGTCGGCGCGTCGCGCCGCGGATTGAAAAATCATATCGGCGGATGTATGGTTTTTTCCCATCGTGAAAAGTCACGACCGAAGCCCCAGACCCAATGTTTCTGCGTATTTTTTCGAGCCGGATCGATCCGCGAGGGTCCCGGGCCAAGCGTGGTCCCCTAGTCGTGGCCCTTCATCGTGTTTCCCCATCGTGAGTTGTGTAGAGCTGTTCCGGGTCGTCTGCCGCAAGGATGCCATCGTGGCTTCCCGGGGCCCAGGGCTGCACTGGCCCCGGGATTGTTTCCAGCGGCGGCGCCTCGTCAATAACCCGCCAGGACGCCCAGATTCCATACCCAAAAAAGCGGCGAGTACAGCCGCCTCGAGTGTCTCGATCCGCCAGGCGCCTGCGCCAGCAGGCTTCCTCGGAGGACCCCCCTTGGAGGGCACAGGCGGTCGATCGTCTTCAGAAGCTTCCGGAAGCAGAAACCGATCACCGACTTCGATCGAGGTCAATCAAGGCCTTCCAGAATCGATCACCGATCTTCGGTTTTCGCTCGAGGCGCTGGATGTCTGGGTCGGCCTGGTCATGGTCCCTCTGGCCGAGAAGGGGGGGAGCGCAAAAAGCGCGCGCTGACCGGGCCGCCGTTCTCTCCGGCCGCCGGGCCGCGTAACCCCGACGTGGTGGACGGCCTGGAGGGCTTCAGCCACCTGTGGTGCCTGTTCTACATGCACAGGAGCCCAGCGCGGCGCCCCGGCGTGTTGGGGGGGGCAGGGGAGACGACCCCACATCCCTGGTGTTTTTGTCCTGTTAAAATGATGGCCTGTTGGAGGCTGTTCGTCTCCACGGCCGGGTCCGCCTCGAAAAACGGATCGAGATGGACCCTGGTAGGGGTCGTGGGACCAACTTTGAGCGGATTTCGGTTGGTCGTGTTTTTGATTGTTCTCTCCTCGTTCTCGCTCTCTCTCTCTCTCTCTTTCTTTCTCTCTTTCTCTCGCTCTCTCTCTCTCTCTTTCTCTCTCTCTCTCTCTTTCTCTCTCCTTCTGGTAGGCTTGAGCCGTGTTGGCCTCTTGCTTTGTGTTCGCGGACCATTGCTGTCGCTGCCACTGTGGGAGGAGGAGGAGGAGGAGGAGGAGGAGGAGGAGGAGGAGGAGGAGGAGCAGGAGGACGAGGAGGAGGAGGACCACCAGCAGCAGCACGGATGATGCGGAGAGACGAGTGGAGAAATGAGAGGGGAAGAGGAGGAGGAGAAGGAGGAGGAGGCAGTATCCGTAGCCATTCTGGCTCAAGGAGGAGCCGTCGCCCGATTCGGGGGAGTGCCCCCCCCCCCCCCCCGCTTGGCCCTCGACACAGGGGCGGGGGGTCATTCAGCGAGCGACAGGCTAAGCGTGCGCGCCAACTTCCCCAGGGGAAGTGCGCCGCGTAACACACGAGATCACACACACACACATCGTAGCCATTTCTCACACAGCTTCGCGGCCTCAGACTTCTCGCCATGGCATGTTCAGTTACTGTTTCTTGTTCTCGGGCACGCTCGCACAGTAAGGCTCTCAATCGCATATGTTTCGCCACACGAGTAGGCAGACCATGTGGCAGCTACTGCATGTCCATCGATGTTGAAGACATAGACGTGCTGACTTCTCTAACGCTTAGACGAGGCCCAAAGTCGCCAAACACTCCCTGAAAGCCCAGCTCCATCTCCCACATGCTCGCTGCCCGCAAACAAAGCTGTGCAATGGAGCAATGATTCGCCTACTTTTCAGCCACGCTATCTACTCCCGCCGATCGTACCAAACGTGTCGATTGCTCAGTTTCCATCACCGCCACTGGAGGCACCTGAGACAGTACAGCCACTGTCACCAGCGCAGCCCCCCCCATTGTTGCCAAGCTGTCCTGTACGGGGGGGTCGCACGCGTGCCAGCGCAGCACCACCCACATTTTGGCAAGACGCCCTGTACGGGGGGGGGGCGCAATCGACGACGGCCACCGCGACGAACCCTGCGATGGCATCCCTCGAATACGCGGGCAGCGCTTCCCTCACGGGCTGCTACAGCCACAGGAGGACCTGAGACAGCACAGCCACTGTCACCAGCACGGCAGCGCCCGATTGCTGCCAAGGCGTCTTGTACGGGGGGGGGGGGGGGCGCACGCCAGCGCAGCAAACCCCTGTACGCTGACAAGACGCCCTGTGCGGTGGGGGCACGCCTGTGACTGCGGCTGCTGCGGCAGAGACGGCACAGGCAACCTGCATCTACAGCACAAGCATCCCAGCAGCGACATCGACAGCAAGGCCCTCCGAACAACGTTCTGTCTCTTCGTGGAGATCGTTTCGGCCGGGGCCGACGCCGACCACACCGGCACGCACCGCGGGCGCGGCTTCGTGCGGTTCGCCACCGAGACCGCGACAAGGCGAGTCCTGGCGTACGCTTGCGGCGCGAACGGCATTCGACTTAGGCTGGGCCGCGCCAAGCTGGTCATCAACACAGACCCAGGGGGGCACCATCTACACGGCCATCGCGATCGTGGACTGCCTCGACCGCACCGGGAACTCCGCAGACAGCCTGTGACCGCCCCCCCGCTTCAACCACCAAACCTTCCTCCCCCTTGTAATTGTCCTCCGTCTCGCCCTCCCCCGGGGCTCTGCCGTCTCCGCGGCCGACCCCCGGGGGCCCCCCTCTCCCCCCTCGCTCCTCACTCCGCATCCCTCTGCACCGTCACTTGCTCTTGTCTGAGGACGCACAGGCGTCGCAGCAGGAGCAGGCGCCACACAAAGCCACCGCCACCGCCGCCACCGCAACCGCTGGCGCGAGCGGCCACCGCCAGCGAGCGATGGCGCCCAAGGCCTGGACAGCACATGCCCCACAGAGGTCGTTCAACCCCAGGTCACATCTAAACGTTGCCCTTCCCACCTCCCGCCAATCCCCGCACCGCTGACATGCCCTTTCGCCGCCTATGAATTCGCCGATTGTGCATCACTCCAGGTAGCACACCACTTGTTCACCCCGTTTTGCGACGCCTGCATGGCCGCCCGCACCCTCCGTGTCGTCTGCCCTTGCACCTCGGCTGTCCCACACGCTGAGTCAATTAGGGTTCGTGCCAGACCCGAGAAGAATTGGAGAAAAGCATGGGGGTCCTTGGAGCGAGGAGTTTTGGGGTGAACCAATAAAACCTTGAGTGCTAGCCCTGGCATTGCCACGTGTTTTCAGCCTCGGCCGACCACAGCCGAAGGTTCCAGGCCACTGTGCACTGCGGCCAACGCAGGCAGCAGAGCCGTGGGAGAGGATGCGTGCGAGAAGAACCTCGAGGACTGGGAGCAAGAGAATGAATAACAGAAAGGAAACACGGCCACCGTGCCGCCGCCGTGGAAGCAGAGGCCTCCCCCAAGCACGGTGGACCTCCCCCAAGTGGCCCCCACCTCCGCGGCCTAGGGCCTGGGCACCCTCCTCCTGCTTGCAGCGCAGGGCACCAGTCGCGGGGGTGGGGGCCACTCTGGGGGACTTCGTACGTGCCAGGGGGACAGCCCCATCTGCCTTCCCACTTTGAAGGGGCCCTGGGACATACAAATAAATACACACAAATAAAAAGACCCCCAATCGTTTCACATATTTTCTGGGTTTTTGTCTTCCCCCCCAGCTCCCATATTTTCTTATCTTTTCTGGAGGGTCGACGATTCATTGTGTCTGTGTGTTTTTTTCCCCCTCCTGACACTTGGCGGGTGTGGCAGGCCGCCGTCCACGGCCGGTGGCGCCCGCAAGCAATGTTTTTCCTTGTGTGTTCTTCTGCTCTCAAGTAGCGGCGAAGCGTCCTGGCTCGCCTATAGCCCTACCAAACAATGTTCTAAGAACTTTGTGTGGTTTCCAAGAAATGTTCGTAGAACATTTCTGGCGGAGTCTGTCCTGTTTTATCTCATCGGCTTTTTGTTCTAAGAACACTACTTTTGTTATTAGAACATCTTGAGGTTCTAAGAGCATTTCGTGGTATGACTATAGGAATGCCAGGACGGTCGGTCCCTGCTCAATCCTCAGGGTGTTGCTTCTGGCCAGCCCTGGGGGCAGCGGCAGCGTCCGACGAGCTTCGTCGCCATCGCCGCCTTCGGTGCCCCAGGAGGCAGAAGGACAGCAGCACGGAAGGAAGGGGGGGGCGGAGGAGGAGGACGAGGACGAGAATGGGGAGGGATGGAATGGGGAGGTGCGCCCACACCCGCGCCAGCGCCCGCGCCCCTGGCTTTAAGTCGGGCCTATCCCTCTACAGGGGGAATATTCAAACATAGTCCAAAAATAGTATGGGGGTACTTTTAGTATTTTTCAGACATTTCGGCATATTTTGGGGGAATTTTACTTTCGTCGAGAATCCCCCTGTAGGGGGACACGCCCGACTTAACCCTGGCCGCCGCCGCCCCCCTCACCTGAGATCCGACGCTGGGGAACGAGCAGCAGCAGCACCGCGAAAAGTCACGACCCGGGCCCTAGAACACATCTCTCCGCGGCAGTTCCCGAGCCGGATGAACCTGTGATGGTCGGGGGGCCCGTCGTCCGTCGCTTTCCTCGTCGCGTCGTGCCGTCCCCCTGCGCGCTGCCACTGGGCGTCCGTTCGCTTGTGAAAAAGTGATGGCCCGGGGGCCCGAAGCTGGGCGAGGGCGCCCAGGATTCACCGGTGGCAGCGGTGGTATCTCGGCGCCGCTGCCGCCCTCGGGAGGAACCACCGCAACATCCAGGGCGAGGAGCTGCCCGCCAGGATCCCGCTGCCCCCGAGCGGCAGCTAGAAGCGGGGAGGGCATCACCATCACCATCATCATCAGCATCACCATTTGCAGCATCATCTTCATCAGCCCCACCACCACCACCATCATCATCATCAACAACAACCTCATCAGCAGCACCATCATCACCACCAACGCCATCACCATCCTCAGCATCATCAGCATCAGCATCAGCAGAATCATCATCAGCAGCAGCAGCAACAGCTGCATCAGCAGCACCTTCAGCACCACCAGCTTTACCAGCATCGATATCAGCATCCCCATCGGCATCACCACCGCAGCTTCTGGCAATTCGCGTGGCGGCCTGAACATTCAGTCATTCACCTTCTGTTCATAATCGTGGTGGTGTCAAAAAGATCTTATCACGGCAAGCTCGGATTCTGCCCTACCAGCGCGGTCATCGCCAAGGCTTGCGACTTCACGCAACACAGACTTATCACCACGGCGTTCCGCAAAGCGGCATGTTTCATTCGCAATTTTTGGTCGAGCTGTCATCGCATCCAGCTCGGCAACGCCGTGGGTTTCACCAAACACCTTCCCTGGTCGCTCCCTGATGAGGCGAAATGGACACCAAGTGTTTCCGTAATGATGTCGGAGTATCCTTTGCAGCCAATTTGGGGCGAGTGCCAGCGCCGCCGGTTAGGAGTGGGCTAGGTGCCCATCTCACGGTGCCTGACCCATGGGGACGTAGTGTTTGTACTTGTGCCTTGTTATTCGTGCCGCTCTTTTATGCTTCAGTAACAACGTACACGCGCTCATGACCTGAGTGGCGCAAGCCCGCGAGATCTTCACTATTCTGCAGGACAGGCTCCACACCTACGGATGGGCACTCCCGGTGGCTGGGGCGAAGTGGGTTTCGCAGAACCCTCAAGAACAACAGGATGACTGGCCCGCGGCGCGGATCGTGCAACAGTCGACCCCCTGCGGATCCTAGGTTTGCGCATTTTGCTTCCGCTTCCCTCACGCAGGACGTCAATATTGAATTGCTTCGCGTCCACACTGCGGTAGGGCAGGCCCGTCATATATTGTTTGGGCGGACCACGTGCAGAGCTCAGAGGGTCTGGTCCCCCGCATTCGCAGTAACAGAGCGCTGCAGATAGCAGGTCGCTGGACCGTCGGCCAAGAGCACATTGATATGCTCAGGGGCACGCGTGCCCTGGCTCTTGCACCAAGGAGCTACGAGGGACAGGAGGCTTTCGCCTCCTTCCTCCAGGAGTTTCCTTCTGTGGCCGGCGGGGAAGACGAGCGACGAATGAACGAACGACGACGACGAACGAAAATAAAGAGGTCCGAGCTCTAGAACACAGCTGTGCAAGAGAATAAAGGGTACAGGGCGAGGGGGACTGGGGACAGGGCCGGGGGGGGAGGCTGGGTCCAGGGCCAGGGCCAGCGGGGCGAGGGGGGCTGGGGCCAGGACCAGGGGGGGAGGTTGGGTCCAGGGCCAGTACCGGACCAGGGACGACGAACGAAAGTAAAGAGTCCAGGGCGAGGGGGACTGGGGACAGGGCCGGGGGGGGGAGGCTGGGTCCAGGGCCAGGGCCAGCGGGGCGAGGGGGGCTGGGGCCAGGACCAGGGGGGGAGGTTGGGTTCAAGGCCAGAACTGGACCAGGGACGACGAACGAAAATAAAGTGTCCAGGGCGAGGGGGACTGGGGCCAGGGCCGTGGAGGGGAGGCTGGGTCCAGGGCCAGGGCCAGCGGGGCAAGGGGGGCTGGGGCCAGGACCAGGGGGGGGGGTCCAGGGCCAGGACCAGACCAGGGACGACGACGGACGAAAATAAAGAGGTCCGAGCTCTAGAGCACAAATGTGCAAGATTATCAACAATCGCTACGTGTGTTTGGGTTGCCTCGGGAGCGCGGCGACACTGACGAATGATACCAGCGCCGGCGGAACAGGGACTTCCACAAGTCCAAACATTGCGTTTGCCCGCTCTATATGCAGGCCGCTGGCAGAGCGGCAACACTATCATCACCATCGTCACCGTCATCAGTATCACCATTGCCATGAGTATCACCATTCTCATGGTGACATGTACTGCTTAAGGCAACCGAGCGGAGAGGAGGAGAAGAGGGCGAGTTCTCGCCAGCGCAGGGTTCAGCTTGCCAGGTTGCCCGCTGGCCAGAGCTGGCTTCGCCTGCTTTCAGGCCACGCCCCGCGCATTTTGCAGCGACGACGGTGGATTCCAGCGCTGTAGCTTCGAAGGGGGTTGCCTTCGCTGGGCATTTGCGCGTGGAGCAGCCCGTGGAGGGCAACCACCGCGAGGTGCGGCCGCGCTCTGGGGGATGAGGGTGACGAAACATGTTCTTGGATGGCGCAGACCACGAGGGCGAGGTCATCCCGCGAGCTTCGGGGCACCTCAGACGCACGTCTGCCCCTGCTGAGCCTGCCCCGACTTTGCTCAGCGAGCCTCGCAAGAATACATCGCAACATCGGTCTCGAACGCTGGGCTGAGCAAGACAGCGGCCACGACACAGGCGGATTTCAAGGCCCAGCAGAGGCGCATAAGCTTTGGAGACTTCGTCGAAATCGCCATCGTTGGCCGCCAGCCCGTCAGGGCGACCACGGCCTGGGGCACAGCCGTGAGGCTTTGATCCTTGCGGTGGCAGCCTGATGTACCAGCAGGTAGCAGCTCCGCCAGGATCGCCAAAGATGCCGCCACCCACGCGACCGCCAAAGATTACTAAACACGTGTTGTTAATGGCATGTTCCCCCGCTTCGTGGGACGATGGCGAGGTCGAGCGCCACCCAACCAGTCGGCTCGCAGCGACTCAGTATCTAGAGGCCCGTGGGATCACGGACGCTATTGTCGTCGGGAGATTCATGGGCTAAGCGAGTGTCTCTTTCGTCAAAAGAAACGCGAGGTTGAAGTCCATGAAGGCCTGGAGAGGCCCGAAAGTATGGCCAGGTGCCAAGAACAGTCCGCTGTGGAACGGTGTCGACCAGGAACCGCGCGAAGCCGAGTCCAGCCGTCGAGAAATATTCGCGATTCGCACCTTGACAAAACACAGAGTGGCCAAGAGCCCCTGCAGCGAGGAGACTAAGATGAAGACGTCTGGCGGCGATTGGGATCTTGCTTCAGAAGGTCAGGAACGGCGTGACGTTGGAGATCTGCGGCGGCGGGATGGCGCAGGCCCCGTTGTCGCATGAGTTGGCTGAGAAGAACCCGCCGTCACGCCTGGCCCAGGACAGCGGCCCGCCCCGACAGCGGCGATTGAAAGTCAGTGGCCGCCGATCTGTCGGGGGGGCGAAAGGGCCTCGCAGTTCCTGGGCTCGAATGTGAAAGGCGCCCGCGCGACAACAAGGCGCAGTTCCCCGGCGACCTTTCGACCAGGATCAGACCGCGCGCCATCCTTGTTCAAGAATGATGAATTACTGGTGGCGCCAGGCGGTCACATGCACGCGCGCCACCAGCATCGGGCGCCAGGCATCGGCTTGCGACAGGAGTGCGCGACGGCCTTGTACCTTCCATCGTTGGAGAGCCTCGGTGTCACCTGTTCTCCATGCGCCTGGACTCTCAGCAACCTGTCCGGGGGCGCACAAGGCGCATCACGAGCTCCTTCTGTTTGCCCCACGCCCGCGGCGAGCCCGCGCGCGCGGTTGGGCAGCCGCGAGAGCGCTTGCTTTCCATGTCTAGCGATTGCCACGCGGTTGTTAGCATCGACGCCCAGGGCGGCTTGAAGACAGGAGATGCGAGACAGGCGGCCGTTTTCGAGCTACCCGTCTGACGGAGAGAAGAGATGCCATTCGATCTCGTGGCAGAATTTGACCTTCTCGCTGGAAGTATGATCTCCCAAGGCCATCAGGGCCAGGTCGCGCGCTTCTCCGACCGCCAGGCGGAGCCGGGCCAGATCGACGACGTGCTGCTCCACCGCGATTGGTTTTCGCCATCCGCGCGCCAAGCCAGAGTCGCGGACCGGGGCCCCAGCAAACGCGCGCCGCTGGGCCGCCCTGGTCACCGAGGAGATCGACTTGGATGAGCTCGAGGCGAACCAGCTGGAGCGCCCTCCTCGGGAGCCCGTGGCCCGGCAGATCGAGGGCCGCCACGGGAGCGGCGAGGGGATCTGCGCGGCCCCCCAGATCCCGCAACTCCCTGGCACGGCGACGCGCTGACCGAGGGTGACTGCGCGAACACGATGGGCGCCTTCGCGGACGGCTCTGCGAGGGGCCAAAATCGGGGGCAACGTCGGGCGCCCGGTGCTGGCTGCGGCCTCGCGGGCTGCCGCGGCGCCGTGCCAAACGATCGATGAGGCACTTTTGCAGGCGCGCGGACCTCGGCGACGGCGAAGGCTGACGTTTGCGAGGCGGGCGTCCAGAGTCTCGCGGCGCTCGTGGGGGACATCTGCTGCGGCGGAGGCGTTGCCGCGGCTGCTGGGCCTGCCGACGGCTCCACCTAGGCGAGGTCTCCCAGCCGACAGGGTGCGCCGAGCTGGGCCCTCTGCGAGGCCACACAGGCGCGCTAGGCGAAGAGCCACAACAGGAACATCGGCAACGAGAACGCGGATGACCCTGCCACACGTGGAGCAGACCGTAGACACACGAGCGCACATTGGAGACGCCCGGTAACATTGTCGGACTGGGTGGCGGAGAAGCACCACCAATTGCGCCAGGCGCGCGCAAAAGGTCGAGACTGGCGCCCGCGCAAGGAGGCGCCCAGGGATTTCACGGGAGGACAGCGGCCGGTCCATGGCTCGCCTGCTCAGCCCGATGCAGGATGGCGCCGTGCGCAGGCGGCGCGGCGTCGCGCCCCACTTCCAAGCTCGCCGAGGCCATCGCCGCGGGTGCCGCAGCTGCTGGACACTCCCCTCGACGCAGACGCTGGCGGCCACCGCCCGGTGGCCCCCAGCTACTTCAGTTCCAGGAGCTGGAGAAAGCGCGCGAGCGGGGGAAGGTGGCGCCGGGGGCAGGGCTCGCGCGCGCGCCACCTGCAGGTGCTCGCGCTGCTTCAGGCCAAGCGGAGACCCAGGGACCACCGCGCGGCGACCCACTTCGAGCGCCCCTGCGATCGCGGGCCCGCCAGACGAGCCCATCGCGCTGGCGGGCCCGTCGTGGAACTCAGGGGCGAGAGCGACGCCGTAGTGATCGCGACCGAGGCGCGCTGCGAGTTGACGCGGGCTTACTGCGCCCAACTGCTCTGCGATGAGAGAAGCAATGGGGAAACTGCCACCGCGGATCCATCTGCAGTGGTCGAGCGAGGCTCCTCAGCCAGAGGTGCCCCATATCTTTGGCGTTGTTGAGGGCTTGTCTGGGGCGTTGAATTTACAGTTTCAGGCGTCGAATAGATAAATTGTGCGAGGGCCCTCCACTGGTCGCTGGCGGAGGAGAAATTAGGAAGTTCAAAGATAGTATGTGCCACCCGCCTGGCAAGACGCTTCGAGGACCACGGGGCTCGCGTGTTACCATCAGTTCTAAGGTCTGCGAATCGCGCATGTGGTCGGCCCGTCGTCGTTTGCTCGGGGGCCCGCTGACGGGTAGAGCCCGCGAGGGAAAGTTTGATCCTGCGGTGGCCCGCGGGCCCCGAAGGGAGCAAAGCCTTCCTGGATGTTGACCTACACGCATGTCACGATCTCTGTCGTAAGAACCGATATGGGGGTGTTTAATATGCCCATGTTGGAGGGAGACGACCTCGCCCTCGGGCGTTTAAGTGTTGTTGGCAATTCCTGGGTCTCCGTTCGATCAGTATCCATGACACAAGCCATGACCGAGGCATCGCTCATGGTATTAAGCCAAGGCAGATTCGAGGTTCCTGCTGGCGGGATGGGGTGGCACCACACTTAACCTGCACATGTCGGCTCGCTTCGCGTGAAAGGCACCGTCCTGCCGCGTAGAGACCGAGCGCAGGATTTGAAACACTCGACACTTATGCTTCTTTTGATCGCAGCTACACGGGCGAAGTGCGCAATCGCATTCGGAGGGCTTGGCGAGCGTGGGCCGCGCATTGGAACACACCGGCCAACAATAACATCTGCATTCGTCGATTCTTACGAGCCTTAGGCCGCTGCGATCGCCCAGTCCTCACATACTACACAAGTATTTGGCACGTCGCAGTTTTGAAGCGAAGCGAGTTTCCAAGTGTCATCGCACCCGTGCGAAAAAAAAATGCCACCCAGAGGTGGGCACGGCCTTCGTGTATGTACCCAACATGTGCGTATATGTCATATACGTAGATGGATATAAACATATATATACACTCATGTGTGCGTATGCATTAGATCGGCCATGTCTCTTGTATCCCATAAACGCACCAGGCGTGACATCGATGCGTGGATCCAATCTTGCTGCCGTCTGTCCCGCGATTGGGCTGGTTACCTCTGACATCTCTGCACGGCCTCCATGGACAGAACTGAGTGTCGTGTGTTACGTTATTGCGACCGTGCCTGGATAACTACCATGGAAGGGTGGCAGGACTCCCAATTGCATTATGGAGCGGTCGGGATCCGGAGCTGGGAACGCGACTATTGAAATTTCTACCGCCAAGGCTGGTTCGCCCAACGTTGCCGACAGCTTCATTGGAGGGATCGCGCCGCACACTCTGATATTTCGTTTGTCTTCACAGTGTTTTGAGTGATCTCTGCGCCGTCGGGCCCTGGTGGCACCTGCAGCATGACGGCTACGAAACAAAACGAAACGAAACTATTACCACCACCGCCACCCTTACAATCACCATTACCAACACCATCAACAATATCACCATATTCAACATCATCAGCAAGATCCTTACCAGCTGCAACATCATCATAACCACCATCATCACAATAATTAGTGGCAGCGTCAGCATCATCATCATCATCATCATCTTCAGCCTCACCAGCATCATCAACCTCAGCATCAGCAGCAGCATCACCAACATCATCAGCATCATCAGTATCAGCGAAATCTGCGTAATCAGCATTGCCATCCGCGTCACAATCGTCAGCAACAACATGATCAGCAGCAGGAGCAGCCAGCAGCTCCATCACAACAGCAATCAGCAATCAGCAATCAGCATCAGCACCACCAGCATCAGCATCGCAATCGGCATCATGGTCAGCAGCATCATCAAAAACAACAACACGTGGAACGGTATTTCAGCACCAGCATCGTCACCATCTGCATCATCTGCATCATCATCATCATCATCATCATCATCATCATCATCATCACCATCATCCTTACCATCTGCATTATCTGCATCATCATCATCCTCATCATCCGCATCATAATCATCACCATCACCATCAGCATCATCACCATCCTCATCCTCATCATCATCGTCATCATCATCGTCATCGTCATCGTCATCACCATCAATATCATCATCATCCTCATCATCATTATCATCATCAACATCATCTTCATCATCGTCATCGTCATCAGCATCAGCATCATTATCGTCATCGTCATCGTCATCATCATCATCATCATCATCATCATCATCATCATCATCATTATCATCATCATCATCATCATCATCATCATCATCATCATCATCATCATCATCATCATCATCGCTGCCCGCCAGGATCCGCCCCCCGAGCGGGGGCCAGAAGCAGGGGCTGCTGGCCACGCGGGCGCCGCACCGGCCCTGCGGCCCCCTCGGCCTGAGCTGCCTCAGGACGGCCGGGACTGCGCGCTGGGCCGGCCGGCTTGTTCGGTCGAGGCGTCCGAAGGCCCCAGCCTCCGACGACCCGTGGTTTTGGACGCCCGAAATGGGTACGGAAAGAATGGGTACAATGCCTAACAGCAAGTCCTGTTCATTTTGAACAGGACTCGCTGTCCGCGCCGCCGCGGCCTGTGTCCATTCGAGACAGAAGGCCGCCTGCCCAACAGCGGCCGCTGTTGGTTTGGGACAACATTTGTTGCTGCCCATTTTCCCGTACTTGGAGGCCATCTGGGCGCGGTGGATGCGGGTCAAAGGAGGCCAGTTCCCCTCGGGGAGAGGGCGAGGGCGGCCCTGGGATGGCCACGTTCGACTTCACGCCAGAGTGGCCTTTCTCCGGAGTGGAGTGACCTTCGGTGCGGGCCCACTGAGGTCCCCCGATCGCCGAGTGCGATGCGACAGTTGCGTCTTGCGCGCTTGTGTTCGGTCCCCCCGCGGCCCCTAGAAAGCCGCGCACCAAAAGGTCATTCTTATCCAGGGTTACTCTTGCGTGCAGCCGACACGTGCTGAAGGAGGGGCGGCGTCGGAGGCGTTCCACGACGTACCTGGAGGGCCCCAGGGTGCCGCCACGACGGCCCAGAAGAGCCAAGAGTTGGTCACATCGTCCTCCCAGCCCCAAGACAGCCACAAGACGACACTAGGCAGCACACACACACACACACCGGAATAATTATACTTACAATGGTGTTTGGTCTCTTCGTCTTGTATTGGCAAGGCAACAATATTCAGCTGCGAAGCCGGATGTGGCGGATGCGATAAACGCCAGCGTGGTATGCAGGTGCCACTTACCCAATTAGAGTTTGCCTCTGTAAGGGTCCTAGCGAATTCAAAAGAGTAGGTGACCTATGTCGCCGATTTCGGTCGCCGGGCCCGAGTGCCCGGGTGCCCAGGGGTGCCCGGGGGCCCGGGGGCCCGGGGGTGCCCGGTAGCTTTATAGACCTATAGCCTTATAGCCGTATAGCACTATAGCCGTATAGCCCTAGAGCCTTAGAGCCTTGTAGCCTTATAGCTTATAGCTCTATAGCCCTGATAGCCGTATAGCCCAATAGCCCGAACAGCCCGAACAGCCCTATAGCCATTTAGCCTTGTAGCCATATAGCTCTATAACCATGTAGCCCTATAGTCCTATAGCCCTACAGCCCTATAGCCGTCTAGCCCTATAGTCTTATAGCCCTATAGTTTCATAGTCCTATAGCTCATAGTCCTGTAGCCTTATAGCCCCATAGCCCTATAGCCCTATAGCCTTGAAGCCCTATAGCCCCATAGTCCTATAGCCCCAACCAAAAATCTGGTTGGGTTCTCTCTCCTGTATCATACTCTTTAGTGGCTTGCGGGGAACGAATCGGGAGTTGAGCAAAACGTTTTCATTTTTGTTGGCCAGACACTTTCGTATGCGAAGTCCCCACTTCAAGAAGTTTGATCGCCACCGTGATAGTTGACCATGTTCAGGTCCAGTCAAATTCCGCTATTCGCTGGCACCTCGAAGGTCCTTTCGACTGTCCGCCCGGGTCGGTGGCGTCCCAGGGCGTTTTTGTCCACAGTGCGGTGTCGCGAGCAGGCTTGTCGTTCTGTGGATGCCCTCAGCGGGCCGCGAGCACCTCGAATCACATCGATCCTCTTGTTCCCTCGATCCGCTTTGCTGCGGCCTCCCCGCGCAGCGCTGTGCCGTGCACCGCACCCCGCGCCGATCGTCGTCGGCGTCATGCCCGCTCGTGGTGCGCGTGCCTCTGCGCGGGATTTGTCTCCCTCGGGCAGCGACCACCACCACCAGCTGCTGATCCTGATTTTGCAGGAGGGTGTCCCCTGATTTTGCAGGAGATTTTGTTACCGGCTCCGTTTTACCGTTTTTTTGTAGGTTCCGACGCCGTTTTTGTTACCGGTTCCGTCGCCGTTCTTTTACCGGTTCCCGCTCCGGTTCCAACCCTGGAGCCGTTTTTGTTGCCGTTTCCGGTCGCCATTATTTGCCGTTTCCATTTTCAAGGGACACTTTTTCGGAAACGGTGAAAAAACGGCCTTGCCGTGTCCGGGGCCCACTCAGGTCCCGACCCTGGCCCCAGGGCCAGCTTGGCACCTCGAGCCAGTTCTGCCGAGTCCCAGGGCCCGGCGAGGGCCCCCTGGGGCCGAGAGGATCGAGAGTTTCCCAGCGTGATGGCCCCAAGACGCGAGCATGTCTGGGCTGGCTTCCCGCCGAGGTTTTGAGCAGGGGATCGACTACATAATTGAAATACCCAAGACCTGATATCCTCGTCGAATCTACGACAAAACACGTAGACTGTTCGTAGATTGACGGAAAAACAAGTTCGGGGTAAATCATTTCTGTAGTCGGGCCCCCACTCGAAGGATAGAGGACATCCGCGTGGCCGCGCCCAACACCACTGGCAGCCGCAGGAACAAGTGTGTGCTGGCAGCCGGCGGCCCTGGCGGCCTCGACGCTGCGGCGGCCGCCGCCGCCGCCGAGCGCCGCGCCGGTGGGGACCCCGACGGCGACCCGTCCGCCGTCGCCGGGATCGAGGAGAACTACTCCGTGAGGATAGAGGTCGGGGGCCTCGAGACGGGGGTCGATGCCAACGGGGGTCAGCCAGGGCGCCGGATCTTGCAGCCTCGTGGTTCCGTCCTCTTTCTTCGGTCGGTCCCCTTTTCGCTCGGCCGCTCTTGGGCCCTGGGTCCTGTCACTCGGCTTCCCTTTCGGTCCCTTCGCGGGCCTTTTCGGCCGGCGTCGCCGTTCTTCGGAGCCAATGCTTGACGTTGGCACCACGCGCAAATATGATGGTGGTGAAAAATGGGCCCATCAGATCCTCTTGGCAGACCCCACGGTGCCCCAAATATTCTGTGGCCAGAGCCACGGGCCCCTGCAGGCCCTCAGATCTGGGCGCTGTAAGAATTTCTCGGGTTGACTCCAAGAGGGGGTCCAGCGACAAGGGGGTGGTGCAATAGATTTGTGTAATAGATTTGCGGCGGGGGTGCAATACCTCTGGGGCGTGCAATACTTCCGGGGCGCACATGTATTGCTGTACTTTCGCGTGCATTACACTAGCTGCAATTCAAAACAAAACAATTCTCCGCCGCAGTACATTTGCAATACAGTTGCCGCAATCTCCGAAATTGGTAGACCTGGACCGTCGCGTTCCATACCTGGATTGGTGCTTATGAACTTCGGTTTCATACGTTGACCGCATGTATGAACCTCAATGCTTTCCCTGGACTATTGTGTTCCTATGCTTGGAGTGGTACTATAAACGTCAGCTTTACAGCTGGAGCGGAACTGTGACATACCAACGCAACAAGGTTGGGGAAGTCAGTGGCCCCTTTGCTCCCGAAAATAGATATCCTCTCTAGAATCCCTTGGACGGACGTTACGATTGCACCACCCTGTCAGCTGGACCCCCTTTTGGGTCACCCAAAACGTGTTCACACCAGGCCTCTGCGCACGCTCTCGGGCCCTGGGACCATCACACATCGATCCGGCTCAAGCCGCGGGGAAACAGAGAAGGTACGGATGCCGCTGCTCCAGGGACCTCTCCCGGAGTGCGTTCTGACCAGGATGTCGAGGCGAATCTATAGCGGTGGCGACGACGGCCTCCGAGGAGGCCGAAAACACGGGGAAAGAGGGCGAGGGGAGCGGTATACGGGTACCTTCTCCTCTGGTGAAAGACATGGCGCAGAAAGAGGGGGCCCAGGGCTCCGCGCTGCTGCAGGTCTCTCGCAGCGTCGGGCCTGAGGGGGCGCCTCACCCGGGGGGGGGGCACAAGTCGCACCAAAGAGGCGCTTTGACCCCCCCCGCGCCCCGATGTGATGGGGGATGAGGACAACGGGGCACTGAACCTGGTCCCTGCAGGGCCTTTGTCTTGTCGCTTCCTAGATGGGGTCGGAGTAGATAGGGTCGGAGGATCGCGCCGCATCGCCGATGCATCGCCGATGCGGCTCGATGTTGAGTCCGATGTGCTTCAGGTCGACGTCGCCGAGGCATCGCCGACATCGACGTTGCATCGCTGGTGCATCGCCGATGCATCGCCGACGTATCGCCGATGCATCGGCGATGCGGCGCGATCCTCCGACCCCATCTACTCCGACCCCATCCAGGAGGCCCCTATGTTCTCCACCCCTCCACTGAGGCCACGCTCCGTTGCCACCCGCGAGGTTTCCACACCGGGCCCCGGATGGGGCCCCACAGGGCCTCGTCTGGGATCCTGTTCCTCACCCCCCGTGGAGGTCACGCCCCGTTGCCACGCACCCGCGAGGTCTCCAACCTGGACATCCTTGACAATGCTGGGAGGCCGGGGCGACGCACGGGGGCATGAGAGTCCTCCGTGCGCCCGCGAGGGCACCGCGGGCCTCCGCCGAGACGCCAGGCCACCCCGCTCTCGTCGCACTCCTGTCCAACAGGGGATCAATTACAGAAACGATGTACCCCAAACTTGAAATGTTCGTCGAATCTACGAAAAGAGACCTAGCATGTTGCTAGGTCAACGGAACCATCTTCACAGTCTTCGTGGATTCGGCCGGAGAAGAATCCAGTTTTGGGCAAATGAAGTATGTAGTCGACGCCCTGCTCGATCCTGGGGCGGCGCCCTCCGTCAGAGGGCGAGGTGAGACAACGGCAGAGGCGAAAGGAGACGGGGTCGTCTTCACCGACATTGGCGCGTGAGCTTCCCGCGCAAGGTCGCGCATAAGCGCACTCGCTTCTAGTTTGGCGTGCCGCGCTGTCGGCCCGCGCGGGCTGCGGCGCAAGGTCGCTGTGTCATCTCGCGTGGGGCTCGTTTCTGCTTGTCGCTCAGCTGGCCTTCGGGTGGGGGGGGGCGTAAAAGCGCGCGAACGCCCCATAGGTCCGTTCCCGTTCCCGTTCGCGTTCCCGGTCGCGTTCCCGTCTACCCTCCCCTAAGCTTTCTAGACGACCCAAGAAGCGGGCACGACAACGGGAACGGCAACCTCCCACGACCTCCCAGACGACCCCTTCCACGAAAATTGAGCGGCACGGCGACTTCCATCCCTCGCAGCAGCTCGGCGAAATCTTCCGCACGAATGGGTTCGATGGCAAGAACGGACCCCGTGCGCCTTTTCGTAGTCAGTCAGTAGCAACTCTGGTCAGCCAAGCGAGGCTGTGCTTGCCTTCGGGAACGTTCCCGCTGATGGATTGCATAATGTTGACCGTGGCGTCAACGCTCGAGTCGGTGAACTCGTCGAATAATTGGCCCACAGTCCCGCGCATGCCCTGAAGCATCATAGTGATGGTCTCCCCATGGAAATGCGATGAAGCATATCACCGATGAACACTGGACCTGGGAGGGCTTCCGCGAGGCCATCGGCCAGAGACCTCTGCGATGCTGTCCAAACCATTTTCTCACGAATGAGCTTCGGTTTCCCCTCGCCCAGCAGCGCGGCAGATGCAATCCGCCACCGTGCCCCTTTGCACGTTGAGGCGTGGAAGAATGCCAAGTACTGTCCGGCAGGGGTCGTCGTCGTCGTCATGGTCGTCGTCGTCGTCGTGGCCGTCGTCGTCGTCATCGTTATCGTCGCTTTTATCAACAGCAACGTTGTCATTAACATCATCATCACCACTGCCATTCGAAGAGCCGCCACCCAAGCGGCTCGGCTGGCACGGCGGCGGGACTTGCCGCAGGCAGCTGGTTAGCACGGATATACCCCTGAGAGACAGCAGCACTTCAAGTGATGCGCACAGCGCACACATGCTCGGGATGATTCCGAAGCAGCAGTCGCCCACCCTTTTCGGTGATCAAGGATCAAAAATGTTCACCGTACCATCCAATGCTTCAGGACGATTGACGCCTGTGTTCCAGGCTCGCACCATGCGCGCGGTGTCGGCCACGGGGCGCTTCCACACCAAAGCCCTCCAACCGTTGTGCGCGCGTAGACAAACTCCACTGGCTCCTCCTGGCTTCTGAAGATCCCATGGCGCTGGCTTGGATGCGCAAGAGCCGAACAGATTCCGAGAAAAGTTGGCGAAGTTACGGACCGGGTGCTTCATGCCGCCCTCGTGCTGCTTTGTCCCATGGGCTCTCAGGTGCTTCAACTTCGTGAGCGACTTGCAAGGGCATAACATACACTCCCATCTCGCTGCGGCACACGCCCTCCGAACCGTGGCCTCGCGCACCTGCGAGAGATGCTCCTGCACCTCGGAACACGCGCGCTCGGTGAAGATCTCCCCGGCCGTGGCCTCGTCAGTGATGCGCCCAGTGATGCGGCCGTGGCCTCGTCAGTGATGCGGAATGCGTCACTGGAAACAAATGGCCTCCCGATTTGGCACGTATACGGCGCATCTTGAAGACATTGGCAGCCGCATCAGTGGTAGCGACATCATCTTTGCGCGGAAGCAATCGATACACCACCACCACCGCGCCTGGCCAGGGCCATCTTAGGCCCCAGAATAGCGTATTACCGTATAGACCCCACTGGCCTCGCCAGGAGGGCGCATGCACCATGCCAGGGTCCAGGATGGCCCTGGCCAGGCACGGTGGTGGTGTATAGATGGTTTCAGTGGACATCCTGGCTAGCGCTCGGCACTGCGCCACCAATGGCTGCCGAGCCTGACGCGTCTTGGTTTGGGGTGCTGTCGGCGTTATTGGCGTGCGCTTCCACTTCATGATAACACAGGTCGAGGTGGTCTACTGCGCACCACGAAAGAGGCAAGAGCACATTGAATTCCCAGTGAGACAAAGCAGCGAATTCTACCTCTTCAGCCATTGCCACGCACATGCCCTCTTGACCGCACGAATGTTTGTGATAGTTCAACACAAACACTCTGGCGTCCGACAGAATTTCCGAATGTGTTACCCACAGCTTTAGTCGTCTGCTTCGGCTTGTCCATCTTTGGCGCCGTGCACGCAACACTCTGCCAGGTCTGCCGACAAGCGTTTCTCCCCCAAGAGCTATTGTGGAAGAGCGCCATGACCGTCGCCAATTCCAGCCCAAGTCCTCCTGCAAGCCAAAAGGCCATCCCTCCAGAGGTCGCTCGCTCGTCCGAACAAGTTCCGGCACCCATTGAGCTCCTGCAATAAACAGAGCGCAACAAGAAGTCGTGCATTTTGGCGAAACAGCTGGATCCACAGTATTCTGCTCAAAACCGAAAATCTTGATGTTCATAGTATTTGCGCTCTCGGACTCCATACGCCCTAGAGACTGCCCATCACCTGCGTTTGCGTCAACGACTGCCATCAAAAAGCCCAGCACAATGTCCGCACAAGTTACCCTTTGCAAGTATCATCTCAAATGACAGGACTGCACCGTCAAAGCCTGAGCCACAATGGCTACGGAATGGTCTGGTGCCCCTGGGCTGTATCCGCCACCTTGCCGCCTGGCAAGTTGAGGCGTACTAGAGTGCCAAGTGCTGTCTGGCTGGGTTTCTCCCGGAGGCCCCAAGAAGCCTCCGCCTCCAAGAAGCCCCATGAGGCTCCCAAGTGGTCCCTAGGGGCCCCCAAGAAGCCCCCCGAAGCCCCAAGCGGCTCCCAAGAGGCCCCCAGACGGCAGGCAGGAGGCTTCAAAAGTGTTGCCAACAGGACCCCGAAAGGCCTCCCACGACGTCCCGACGATCATCATCAGCAGCATCATCATCAGCATCATCATCAGCAGCATCATCACCATCGTCGTCATCATCATCAGCATCATCACCATCGTCATCGTCAGCGTCATCGTCATCACCGTCGTCGTCGTCATCATCACCATCATCATCATCATCATCATCATCATCATCATCATCATCATCATCATTATCAGCATATTCATCATCATCACGGTGGCGGGAATTGCCGCAGGCAGCTGGCTACGCACGAGTGCATTAACAGAACCATGGCTGGGTGGGCAAAATTCTGTCTGGGTGAGCTGGGCTGGGCTCGGGATGGCCTCCACGACGGCCAATATGGCCTCCTGGACGGATAAGATTGCCTTCAAGATGGCCGACGACACGTAAGAGATGGCACGCAAGCGTGCTAAGATGGTCCAGTGTGGCCTCCAGGACGGCCAACATGCCGTCGAAGACTGCCAGGACGGCCCTGCATGGCCCCCGAGGCGACCGAAGATGCCTTCCAGGACGGCCAAGATTGCCCGAAAAGGACTCCAGATGGCCCCAAGGGGCCTCCAAAAACCCGCAGGAACCCCAAAAAGGCCTCCAAGAGGCCTCCTCCCCCTCCTCCTCATCATCTCATCTGCCTCTCCGTTATCATCACCATCGTCCCCCTCTATATTGCTCCTCCCCCATATTCCTCCCCCGAGTGTTTTCCCCAAGAGTTTCAGCAACGGCTGGGGGAACACCTGGTCCAACACCTGGGCCTCACTTCGCCGTAACGCTTGGCCGCATCGGCGTTTCCAAAAGGCAAGGGGCGGCGATGATTCGCCGTAGGCGTCTGACAGAGACCTTCAGAGTCCCAGGAGACCCCCAAGTCCCCCCCCGACGTCCCCAAGAAGACCCCCACGGGCCCCAAGAGACCTGAAACATGCTTCCAAAAGGCCCCCGAAAGGCCTTTCAGGAGAGCCCAACAAGCCTCCAAGCGTCCGCGGCCTTTCTGGAGCCTCCCTCTTGACCCCCTTTAGGGTGGACGGTGAAAGACAGAGAGATGACGAGAGAGAGAGAGAGAGGACGAGAGAGAGAAAGAGGACGATGGAGAGAGAGAGGACGAGAGAGCGAGAGGACGAGAGAGAGAGGACGAGAGAGAGAGAGGATGAGAGAACGGGAAAGGGAGCGGGAACGGGAACGGGAACGGACCCCTGGGGCGCTTTTTTTTTTGACGGGGGGGGGGGCCCTCGTCACTACGGCTGCACGCTGCGCGGAAAGCTGGAGCGCTGGCGCGCCAGGTGGGGTCGGAGGACTGCTTGTGAGCCGCCGCTGTCTCAATCAAATGAGGAAAAAACCACCCGGACCGGCCCCAGGCGTTTCCTAAACAGCTTGCGTTGCTTGATTCTTTTTCTGGGTGCGTTTACTGAACGGATTCGGGTGTCGGGGTGGTTACTATCGACTACACGTAAGAGTGACCCTTCGCCGGAGTGGCCTTTGGTGCGGGCCCAGTGGGGTCCTCCGATCGCCGAATGCGATGCGATAGTAGCGTCTTGCGCGCTTGGGTTTGTCCCCCCCGCGGTCCCCCCAAAGCCGCGCACCAAAGGTCACTCTTACCTAGGGTCACTATTGCGTGTAGTCGATACTATCGGGGTGGATGTTCTGCCGTCTACTCAACCCGCATTGCTCCGACTCGGGAGCCGCCCCCCAGGCGCGCCTCGGGCGCCGCGAGGAGGAGCGTGTCAGACGGGACTAGGACGAGGATTAATCCGTTCCAGAGCGTTCCGCAGCGCTCTCGGGGCGTTCCAGGGCGCTCTGGGGAGGCAGCGGCGTCCGAGACCTCCTCCAGAGCCAGCACTCAGAGATTCTCGATG